GGGGCTGGCTGGCATGTGGTGCTGGGGGATTGAACCGCGGTCCCTTTGCTTTGTTAAGCTTGTTCTAAGTAGGTGCTTTAGACCACTGAGCCATCTCACCAGCCCTAGAAACAGATTTTGTGAAGTCTCCATTCTTGGTAACGCTTTACTTCCTCTTCACTTAATCTTTAGTTATCTTGAATTAGAAGTTTAGTTTTTCTCAACTCAGAAGTCTTAGCTTTAGGCCATGATTAATAGTGGAAAGTAGTAAAATCTATGCTTTATGAGCTTGGAGTTAAACGTCCTGTTCACCCTGATATTTACACAGCTGCCTTTCTATATCAAATAAATACTGTTTTTCTCTCTAAGAATCAAATAACTTTCAATGTAGAAATGACCTTAGACATTACCTTGTTCAATACTTTTTCAAAATGAGAAAACTACACATCTAATTATCAACCTCATGGAAGCCCTGACCAAATCCTAGACATCACATTTCCTACCACACAAAAGTCTCTGGTGATTCTTTGCACCGGAAACTCCTTTTCCTCTCTGCCTCAAAAATGACCAAAAGAAAACCACTGTGGTAATCAGGAAGCTGTTTCATGACTTTCCCGAGTCATGTTCAAAGTTTACCTTAGATTGCTAAATAAACAGTCATTTGGTTGGCACAGAATTAGCATGATTTGTTACTCTTACTGACAACCTTCATCTTAATGAATGCTTCATTGGAAAGGAGGTGAATTGTTTTAATTAAATGCAGTGTTTTACAGCTGGCTTTTGACTAATGTGTTTAACTTTCAATCCATGCTTCTTCCTGAACCTGTGGTTTCAATATATTGGCTCTTTTCTTCTGGTTTGCTAAACAAAATGAAGTCAGCTCAAACTAGAGTGTTCCTTTACACTGAGTTGCATTAAGTGCACAGCAATTATATGACCTGATAAAGATTTTCTAGTAACTTTACTTCTAAAATCTCTAGTCCAGGTATTCTCAGACTCCTCCTTTACCCATAGACTTAACTCTTTAAACCCATTCAACCTCTAAAATTCACAAAAGCACCTGAAACAAACAACTTATGTTAGTGATAATCTTATTTTTAGTCATATTATAATTCTAGGACAACTACAATTATCTCATTTTAAAACAACCCATCAGAGGCCAGGGGGATGGCTCAGTAGAATAAGCACCTCCCTGGCTAGTGCAAGGGCCTGAGTTCGATCCCTGGTGTCGCCAAAAATAAATAAATAAATAAATAAATAATCCATCGATAATGGAGAGGAAGGAGGTTTTTCTTTAAGTTTTAATTTTTTGTTTTACTTTTACACAAAAGTGAAATCAGTATGAAAAGGAAACGTACCTTTCTAGAGAAATAACAGTTTCAAAGTCGCAAATTGCCAGCAACCAAAATTTTAGATGTGCATAGAGTATGCCCCGATGTAGAAAACAACTAAGATTCTCATAGCCATCATTTATGAGAGCTTAAAAATAAAAGCACACACCTTACTCAGGTTCTGAGTAACCACAGCCAAACCATATTTTAGCCTATAGCTTTCTTAGCCATTAAGCATATTTTAACGTTACCACATGAAACATCATGTATCTATGAAAAGTGAATTTATTAGGAGACTAAAAAACAGTATTCTATGTTAATACATATTTTTAATTAGTAACAAATGTGGCTATAATGGTCCACAAACTTCTTAGAGTCAGAAGAAACGCTACTAGTAATCGAATACAGTCAGCTGACACTACAGCAGAGGAGATTAAGGTCCAGAGAGGTGCCTTTGCCAGGCAAGTTAGTGGCAAAGAAGGGAATAGAGTCTAACTCCAGTCAGAGGGGCTTCTTGAGCATCTGTCATTGTCCTAAAGATGCCAATTCTGCCCATGTAATAGGCTCAAGTACTTACTTAAACCAAAGCATATAACAACATTCAGGCTTACTCCTAAATCAGGATGGGAAGATGCAAAGTGACTACCCAAAAGGCCAGCAAAACTTGGAACCAAGGTAGCAGGCCTCATTGTGCTCCCCCCCACCACCAAGCAGATGCAAGGGGCAGGAAGAGCCCCTCCCAGCGTGCCAAATGTGTGGTTCTCATCAGTAGCCAACCCATGGGTCTTCTAAGTCTCTTGTTTACTCTCTCAGTCTTCACTTTCAAAAACATACTAGCAAATGGGCTGAAAACAAAATGTGAAGCAAATAATCTGAGTTTCTCAAGTCCACTCTGGGTTGATGAGGGAAAATGTTGCCAAAAATATTCACAATCTCAGACACAAATATTCTTGGTACTAGATTTAGGGAAGTACATCCAAGGTCAGCAATGATCACACAGCATAAAAAATCTCTTGAAGATAATCTGACAACTCAATTCACAGGATGATCATCTAATAAGGAAAAATTGGTGGTTGCTCTAAAAAACTCAAGAAAAAATAGTTATGTAATAACTTCTTTATGCTGTTTTTATTAAACTTGGATGATGACAATTAATTATTTGACTATTAATTGGTATAATCTATATACAGCACTTAGAACAGTGTTTAGGATGCAGCAAAATATATAATAAGTATCAGACATTATTATTACAGCTTAGAAAATATCTTATCTTTTTTATTATGACAAAACTTAGGATAGACTATTAGAAAGAATCAAGATCAAAATCAAACTAGTCAGCTATAAGCAATTAATTAACAGAAATTTTAATTTGTTATGATAGCCTAGATGGCAATGGGAGAACTAGAGTCCAAACTTGAAGAGGAAAATCTGAGAAGGCCAGGGAGATGGGATTAAACTGAATCCAAGATGAAGAGGACCAACGGATCCAGGTAAACCCACAGAGATCTGCAAGTTTATGTTATATGCTCTACTTACCCTCTGAGCCCTATGACATTCAGTAATAGTTACATTACATACAACCTGTTTGGGTGATTGTTACCTTGGAAATGAAAGAAGGACCAGGACAAGCAAAGCAGAGAGAACAGCAGCCACGAGAAAAGAGTACATGAGCCAGCAGAGATGAGGAGTCAGCCTTGAGCAGAAACTGGGCAGAACTACACAGGAGTGTCCAGGAATCTTCAGCCTGCTTTCTCAAAATCCCTGATAGCAGAGGGAAGGCTCTAGACTCCTCTTGGCACACAGGAGGGCACTTGAGCTACTTTATTTGGATGTTAATGGCAGGAGTACAGACGGACTTAAAGAGATATCCAAGCAATAATTCTCAGAGCTCTCTTTCACTCTGGGGGTCTTGTCCTCTAATCTTGAGCTACTGCCTCATCCACAATGATGTACCACACACCCAGGTGGCACAGCCATCTTTGGTGTGCCTCACTCTGGCTCATCTTTATCCTCCAGGTGGCCCATTCATTCAGCTTACCTGTCTACTGAATACTTACTTGGAGTCCAGGATAGTGCCACACATGTAAACTAGGAATGCATTAGCTGAGGACAAGGAAGAAATGCCCAGCTTTATCTCGTCTCGCTCCTGAGAATTCTCAAAGTCTCCTCCCACCCCCAGGGGAAGGCATGAACGCAGAACCCACAACCACAAATTATGCCGTGGAGTGCCCTGCATTTGGGGAAATCGCAGGGGTCAGCACATCTGGAGCGCAGTGGATAAGCCTCACGCTGGAAAAACCACCTTTGTGATCACGGTATCTCCCCTGCCAGGTAAGTATTCAAAGTCTCTTTTAATGTAAGGCCATAAAACTTTGCAAATCCATGGGTTGGTCGAGTCTTAGAACAGGACACAAGCTATTGGAACAAATCAATACCATTTTGACATACTGACTAGGAAATAGAAAGGGTTTCCAGAAAAGTACTTGAGAAAATGAGTATCATACCACACACCAACACACAAGTACCCATGAATACGTGCCTACACACTACTAGAAGATACAAGAACATCTGCAGCTTACCTATTGTTATTTATAAGAATACACAGGTATATGTGACATAGTATGTGTCTAAATAAGTTAATTTAACACATGAGTATATACATATCGCTACACACTTATATATGTGCTACTAGTGGCTCTATGTTAGTATTCCCTTCTATGAACCTGAGCTGGTCAACCTTAGGTCAGCATCTCATATATGTGCAATTAAAGGCAAAGTACCTGAAACGCTATAGTCCTGTAGTGCTCTAAGAGGATTATTCTTTCTAAATATGCATGCTCGATAATACAGCGCTACCCAATTATTAGGATCTAAGTGAATAGCAACTGAAAAGTCTTGAGTCGCTTGTTTATAAAGGTGCCTTCTAAAATATGCTTTCCCCCGATATGTCCTAGAAAGACAGAAAAATTCATTTTAACATATGGAACAAATTATTCATCTTTCTTTTTGTCAAATCTATTTACCTAATTTTCTATTTTTACAATTTGTGATTGGTTCTCAAGAATTTAGCCATGATGTTTATAGCAAAAAAAAAAAAAAGATTTTAACCTTTTATAAACAAGGTATACATTATTGCTTACATAATTACATACTTGCTAATTATGCTTTATTTTATTTCTTACTTTACTGGTAAAACAAAGTTTTCTGAAATCTTGTGGAAAAAAAAAAAAGAAAACCTTCTTCTCTGAATTGAATGATTCTGATTCTGTACTTCTTCTCTAAGGAGTACTAGTTGAGGGAAGGAATTAAATTGGTTGGAGACAAAAAAAAGTTAATTCAAGGTATTTAAGATAGTGCTGGCCTTCTCTTCTATACTGAAAAATCTATTTGGCTTCATCTCCTTGGCAACAGGGGGTCACTGAGAAAATTTTTGAAATAAAAAGTCTTCATTATTTGATAATCGAATCTTATCACTCCAGATCTAGGAGTGAGGTAACATAGAATCTTAAGTATAAACTGATAAACTATTGAGGCAATAGAAGTGAAAAAGACCAGATAAAAAGTCAGTGTATTTGAAGAATTAACCTTTCTTAATGATGCACTTTGAAGAGTATTTAAAAAGCTTTATACTGTAAGAATTTAAATTAGAATCATATGTAAGTAAAATAATAATTTATAACTATTCACAAAATATAATTAAAAATTCATTAATAATTAAAAATAATTTAAAATATATAAAAGTTTAATTTTTTTTCACTTTATGTATCTGGTACAGGGTCTCACTACGCAGCTCAGACTCATAATGATTTTCCTGTTTTCAGCCTCCCCAGCACTTCCCAACACTGGGATTACAGGTGTGACCCACCATGCCCAGTCTTGGTTGCCAGCTCAGCAAGCCCCAGGGGCTGGCATGGCATGAGGGACTGGGGCGCGAACCCTGCTCCCTGGGCTTGCCAAAGCAGACACTTAGTCTGCTGAGCTATCTCACCAGCCCTAATTCACTATCATTTTATTCCAGCTAAAATAAGATAAAGAGGCACACATCCCTCAAAATCTGCCTGTGAATGAGAATACCTCATAAGTAGATTACAGGAAAAAATAAATTTAAATAAGAATAAAAAGATACCCTTGGAATAATTAAAGTACAAGATTTAAAATTTACAACTATTGCATTTTTTTGCTAAGCCCAGAAACCTCTCAAACAATGAAGATCTCTATTATCCTAAAATTGCTAAGTTAAATCAATATAGTGACAAAGGAAGAGTTGGGAGATTAGCAAAAATGATAGAACATGAAACTCAAAACTCCATTCTTTGGTGAAAGTAATAAATAAGCTTGCATTAAAAGATAATCAGGATCAACATTTTTGGCACTCTGGAGTCTAATTAAAAACTTAGACTAACCAAGGCAATGGATAACAAAGTGGAAGGAACTGCTGACTTTTGCCAAGAAACCTCTATGGTATTCAAGCTTACCTCATCCTACTGCCCACTTCCCAGAGCAATGCTGGCCTTGAGAAGAGTCCATATTCCCAGCGCAGGTTGCTGCTAGGAAAGAGGGCACTATGGACCTTCGCTCAAGGAACAGTGCTCTTGTGCTTTAATTTGCTTGGTAGGTGAAGGAAGGACCAGTTCGAAAGCTCGTCTTTGTTTTGTCAGCCTCCAAGCTTTCCCAGGACAGAAATGTCTTCCTGGTTGTTGTTTACTAAAAATACTTAAAGGCAAGTGTATCAACTGCTACCACCTAGAACAATGGTTAACAGTTTAGGAAAGAAATAGGAAAAAAATCGAGGAATATTTAGAGAAATAGATATTTGGGGGGTATTAAAATGTAGATCTAAAATAACCCCCAAAGTTCCATGTGCTCAGAGGTGGAGCTTGTGGACAGTGATGGAGACATAGGGGTTGGGGGGCGCTGTACTCATCTGTGGGTGAATCTACAGATGCATTCACAGCTGAGTGTGCAGTGGGCAGAAGGGGGCTTTACTGGAAGAGTCCCTGGGATCGTGGCCTGAAAGCCTGTGTTCTCATCTCTGGCTCCTCCTCGCTTTCCTGGATGTCTGAGGTAAGTGGTTTTCCTCCACTCTGGCCTCCTTCCATGATGTTTCTGCCTTAGAGTCAGCTGATCATGCGTGGAGCCTTCAGAACCCAGGAGAGTGTTTAAAAGGCCAAGGCATCAGAAGTTCCCAAACAGGTGAAATGACTTTTTTTAAAACCTGGCGGTGGTTGCTGGGGAATCTACACAGTGACATCATAAATATATAAATTTCTATTTTCTATGTTTTTCTGTATGCATGCAACTGAAAATTGCAAGTGAAGAGTTGAGTAGTCATGACCCTATGTACCCATTCCAGATCTCACCAAAACAAACCTCCAATTAAAAGGAAAACAAGAAAATGAAAACTATATTAAGCCTAATAAGGTTAGGAGAACAAAGTTTAATGTGCATATTACAGTAAGATGCCACAGAAATAGATATGAGCAATACTCTGTACTCAGTAGATACAAAAGATATGTATGAACAGGAAATGTAAGGAACTGAAATGCAGATGTAGTCAGTGCTTTAGAAATGTATGATGTAACAAATATTTAGGAGATGTAAATGAACTAACTTGCTTTTCATTTAATCTGTTATATTAAATTACCCTTTGCCAGGAGGGTGAGGTCACATTTTCACTCACTGGTGACACTGAAAATTGATTCATTGTTCTTAAAGTGCCATTAAGTATATTTCAAGCAATATTTTTTCTTGAAAAAAAAGTTTCAAATATTAAATATTTCAAAAACATATCTGAAATAATTCTTACCATGCTTCAGAATTTTTCTGCTCTATATTTAACAAAGCTGTAAAATCCTGTATAGCTGAAATCCAATTTTCATTTTCAGAGTAAAACTTCCCACGTTTCATTAATGCATCTGTTCTTTTGGGATCATAAAAAATACACTACGGAAGAATGGAAAGGTATATGAACATTTCATATAAAAAACAAGAAAAGTACACAACTTCAGATTACATAAGAAAACTAGTGTAATACAGCACAGTTTTCAGATTTATGTTTAGAAAACATACTTAGAAATCCATCAGTAATCACATGCTTGAGAAGGAATATTCTCAGACAGAAAAGAAAAAAAAGCAGCTTATACAAGAAACCAAGGGTCAGTCCTAGCCCAGGTCCGGTGAGTGTGCGGAGAGTTTCCTGCTACCCTGCGCCGACGGGACCAGTCCCAGCCCAGGCGCAGCATGGGCCGGACCCTCTCCCAGCC